CACATTAAAATTATCCAAGGCACTTTAAAAACTATTAATAATCAGGGGCCCTCGTTGAATCAATCATATCAGAATCTCCAGAAGGAGAATCTGGACACTACTGTTTTTTAAATACTCATCAGGCCCAACTAATATGCAACCAGGGTTGAGAAGCTGATAGAGGAAGAGAGAAAGCAGAATCCGTGCAACTAACATAAAAACTTCGGGAAAGCGGCAAGGAGACCAAAGGCGCGGGTGAGCTGGTGAAGGGGCTCACGGCCGTCTGGGGTGGGGGCATAGCGGGGCAGTAAGTGCAGCTCTGGAGGGAAAATATTGCTCTTGCCTGTCCTCACATTACCTTGGCAGGAGTTTCCTTGTTCCCGCACTTCTGTAGCACGGAAGTCAGCGAGAACAGCCCAGGTGCCAGGCATTCTCGCGAGGGAAATGGAAGGGCTGCGAAGATAGGGAGAATCCGGGGGCGACTTCAAGCGCAGAATCTGGTGAGAACGCATCCTGAGGACGAGCTGCCCTAAGGCGCGCGCTCACTCCTTCCCTTTCTCTCCATACACTCAAAGACAGTGGATTGTAACCTAAGAAGGTTATATATCTCCTCTTGGTTGTATATCTTCCCTTGTTTCTTTCCAAAAATTTAAGGGAGATTCTCTGCACGCCTAGTGAAGAAACTAGGAATAGAGTTGGTCTGCAAGGTCTGTGGTGTGCGGTGCTCCCATTCCCAGAGCCCTGCCCCAGCCTTCTCCGTAGATAGTCTGAAAGATCAGCATTACACAGAGTATGTTCTCTGACTACAGTGTGACTATGTTAGAAATAAATTACAACCGAATGATTGTTGGGCAATGATTCTCCATGGATCTCTTGTATTTCTGTATGTCTTTGATTAGAGACATTGGCAGCTTTTGTTCTGGACTGTCTTTTCAAGGATGGTTATATAGCAAAAAGCCTTAGAAAATAAAGATAGTATTTCCCCCCTTTGCAGAAGGTACATTTGCTGTGTAGGAAAGTGAAGAGAATGTCTCCCCATGGGGTAAAGTTTGGGTGGGTTGGCTTACATCCCCTTACAAAAGGTTGGTGTTTCCTGATCTCAAGAGTCCTTCAACTGTGACTCAAACCCACTGCAGGTGCAGCGACCTCCCGGACCCACGCAGGCATCGTTGTCATGGGACTTGGGAAGCAAGGGGAACCAATGAGAGAATGCAGCGATCAAGTGCTTTGTCTCTGACCCAGGAGTCTCATGTCTTCTGCCAGCACTTTTGAAACTGTGACTGGCTACCTAGTTTGCTTATAAGTAGGATAAAATCCAAGATTCTTCACAGTTCTTGATAATAAGTTAAAAAAATCCCTTAAGCCTGGATATGAAATAGCATACAACTAAATCATCTTTAGATTAAAAAGGAATTCATAAAGATACTATAGAAAACAGAATAAACTGAAAGTATTTTAAGCCAAAATTTGTGAATATACCTGAAGCAGCATTTGGAGAGAAATTTATAAATATAAATAAATATATCAGGAATCAAGAAGGTGAAAATGCATGAGCGAAGTGTTTCATTCGAGACGAAGGAAAAAGGAAATTAGAACAAAACTAAAGAAATCGGAAGAAGGAAATACTAAATGCAGAAATCAAAGTGAAGAATGAGAAGAACAGCAACAATGCAATGCAGAATAATAGTAACAGCAAAAAATAATGAAGGTCAGCAAAATTAAAAGCTTTTTTTTAAAAAAGATAAACAAGATAGTTTTCTGGAAAGATTGGTCAAGAAATAAGAGCGCCCATATAAAAAGCAGAATGATAAAAAATAACTGCAGATGCATAAGAAATTTCAAAATAATATTGCAAACAACTATAGTCTAAATATACCATATGATTTCACTCATGTGGAATCTAAAAAATCAAAGCAAATGAAAAAACAAAACAAAGCAGAAACAAATTTATGGATCCAGAGAACAGATTGGTGGTTACCAGAGGGGAGAGGGGCAGGGGGTGGGAGAAATGGGTGAAGGGGGCCGACCGCCTGGTGATGGATGGGACCTAGGCCGTAGTTAGTGGTGGTCACTTTGTAGTGTTTCCAGGTGCCTAATTATAATGTTGCGCATCTGAAACTTATGCACCAATTTTACCTCAAAAACACTCTGCAACTCATTCCTTAAGTTAACATTACTCTAATGCCAAAAACAAAGACATTATAAGAAAGAAAATTTCAATCCCAAATCCCATAAACAGGTATAAAAATTCTCACCAATATTTCAGCAAATCCAATCCAACCATATATAAAAATACATCATGACCAAGAGGGTTTCATTCTGGGAAATGTAAGATTGGTTTAACATTTGAAAACTGAATCAGCGTAATTCAGCATATTAAGGACTAGAAAGGAAAACTCAGATTATTATCTGAGTAGATGTAGAAAAAGTACTTTGCACCATCATTCATGGGCTCCCGTGTGGCCCCCACACAGGGGCAGAGGACCGTGGGGGGAGGATCTGTGATACGGCTTTACGATTGACAAGTGCCATCCCTCCCCGCAGACATCTGGATGCCCCTGGGTTCTTGGCCCTGGGCCGGCTCCAGGCAGTGAGCAGGGAAGGCTGCTCTCTGGCTTGCGGTCCCCACTTCCCAGACCTGTGTTACGTGATGGCCCCACCTGCGGCCTGTCTCATCAGAGTTTCGCCCCCGTTTAGGTTATCGGTGCCATCAGCTGATCTGAGACAATAGGATTTTAGGGTTTATGATGGCCGGGTGTTTCAGCAAAGCCTCTCTCCTCCAGTCATGGGGACTGAGGTCAGCGTAGTGCTTTGCTGGGGTGGATGAATAGTGTTTGCCATTCAACCCACGCCCCGCTATGTCACCCTGGATGGATGACAAAAGTAGGGTGGTGTTTTATTTTCTGCGTGCTCTATCTAAGGCCAATAGCTTCTTGCTTTTATTCTCAGACCGCCCATGAGTTTTCACACAATAACCTCCATACCGTAATACCCCACAGCACTCTCCAACCCAAGTTCATTGTTGACGCAGTTTCTTCAGTGAGGGAGGAAGCCGACTGCCACGACTGTGGGCTGGGAGCTGCCATTTCACATCACAAACCTGGGAGCTATTCGAACTATTTGACTTTTAAAACTGTATGCATGGGATTCTTATACAAAATACAATTAAGTCTAAAAAGAGAAAGACAAGACATAGTACGTCTGCTGCTCCTCCCCATCCTCAGCCTGATGCAGGCATCACTAATCCATGGCAGAGCTCCTTTCCTCTGACCTACCGTCCCCCAACCTTTCTCAGCACAGTACTCCAGGCAGGCACTACCCATCAACTAGAGTTGAGATGAAACCAGTTTTCCATTCCTAATCTTTTCCATTGGCTTGGAAAACAGGTTTTGATTTTGCTTTTCTAGCTCTAAATTTTGTGTCTTTTCCAGAATGGCTCCAAGCTTCAGCCCTCTGACAGCATACATTACAGCCTAAGGTGTATTCTGCTCCTAGACCTAGCCATGCTTCACTGCCAGGGAACCTTGTGTGGCCACCTTCTGTGGTTTCCCTGATCAGTGGGGAGAGGGCCTGGACAGCAAGTGTGTGCAGGAGAGGATCCATTTAAACAGGTCCAAACATCCAGCACCCTGAGAGGAAACCCCTTGGAGAAGAGTGGGTGCCATTGATTGGACACCCTGCTTCTTCAGAGGTTTCAGTCCCTTCTGAAATCACCCTCCAGGTGGGGAGTAACTTCTGACCCTTCAATACTATCCTCTCAAGAGGAGCAGCAACTTCCTACAGCTTTTCCAAGTGTGGTTGGCTTCTCCAGGTAGAGACCTCACCTTACATCTGGTGGGGGACGTGGTACAGGAAAAGTCCCAGCAGTGAAAACTGTGACCTTACACTCCCTCCCGGCAGGGAGAGCACTGACTTTTTAAAAAATGTATTTCCCCTTGCAAATCTTCAGTCTGGAAAGCAGAGAAATTAATCATGTTGTCAACACAAATAGGCCTCATAAAATTCCAAGTTAAAGTTACCTCTGACAGTTTACTTGCCCATAAAACGAGGGGGTTAGACCAGATAATCTCTAAGGGTCTTTCCGGCTCTCATGTGTAGTGACTTTACGGCTTCAGTCAACAATAAAAAACATGAATGGAAGCAAAAGACTTCCTCTAAACCTTTGCACAGGTTCTGGAGGAAAGGAGAGTTGATTTGAAAGTTAGGAAGCCAGAATGCATTCTGAAATGGAGTGGGCTAACCGGAACAGGCTTGTCAAATGCATCGCCAGCCACATGCCTTCCGATTGGCTATGGGCAGTTTCCAGACCGTGATATCTGACTGATAAGCATCTCTCTTCATTACTGTAATCACAGTTTGTTGTGATTGCCAAAGGATGGAAAAAAACTAAGCTACGAGCGAGAGGCCAGAAGTCCCCCACTGCCGCTTACACATCTAGGCTCTGGATTTTCTACATTTTCTACTTTTCAAGGCAAACAACTTGCATGTTTACTTCTCACTCCTCTGTCACTATGAAACATCATGTCTCCATGGCAAGAGGGGATGCGTTTATCTTCACCAAACCTGCTAAAATCTTTCAGGACACGATGTAGCAGGAGTTGCATTTCAGTGCGTGGAGGTTCAGAATGCAGCCTGTACTAGAATTGCTTGTTCCTGGAAGGCAAACCTCTCCAAATCCAGAGATATAAGAGATCTCTCAGAGAGCACGCGTTGGCTGTGAAAACGGACATGGGAGAGCCAGAGGCAAGAAAAGCTTGTTTTAAGCTTGGCACGGAATTCTGGGATTGCTCTGGGAGTCAGTGACACTCAGGTGGGAAGGGCGGCCTCCAGGATGGGTGAGGCGGAGCTGGGAGGACAAGTGTGTGCAGGGAGAAGAGGAGAGCGCTGGGCAGGAGGCCGGTGGGGCTGTGCCTCCGTGGGCCTGTTCCTGGGAAGGCTCTTTTCCAGTCTCTTCATGCCCTTCACACACCTCCACTCGGGCTGTTGGAGGGCTGCATTTCCTCAGTCATTGAGTCATCCATTCTTTCGCTTACTCACTCGCTCATTCATTCAGAAAGCATTTATCCAGCACTTCCCATGTGCCAAATGTTGTCTTAAGGACTGAGTTCACCTGGATGGATAGGACACAGTTCTTGCCCACCAAGGCTCACGGCCAAGGTCAGGGAGGTACCGACTGAATAAGAAGATGCCTCTCAGCACGGTCTGCGCGGTGGTGGGGTGAGCAGACGATGTGCTAGGAGCACAGGAGAGGGGCAGGTGAGTCACTGTGGGGAGGGGGTGCAGGGGGCTTTTCAAAGGAGGGGCTGCCTCAAGATCCTGAAGGGTGGGGTGTTGTTTGACGGGTGAGGAATAGGAGAGTGAAGAGGCGTAGGGCATCCTACGCATGGGGAGCAGCCTCCTTGATGGCTCAGAGGCAAGGAGGAGCATGTGGGGCTCTGAGGTCTGCAGGCGGCTCAGAGAGCTCAGCCGATAAACCGACCACACACTCCTCAGCGGACTGGGCCCTCGTTTGTACTTGTGTTTACTGAGCAGTTCTGCAAACAAACCCGCTTGCTTAGGTTGGCTGAATGGAATGATTTAACTTGGTTTGATTTTATCCATGAAATGGTGCCTCTTCAGAAGAAACGTGGATTTTCGAACCAGAAAAACCACCTGATGAAATAGTATAGTAGCAGACAAGGCAACCACTCCACGAAGGCGCTGAAGGAGGAGACCCTCGGGACGATCCGGCATTCGACAGAGGCGTGCAGAGCAACGCGGACACAGCAGGGGAGGGAAGCGGTGCTAGCGGAGGACCTGCTTGGTGTCATCAGGAGAGATGCTAAGGGCAGTTCACCTCATTGTCTCCTTACAACAGCCTGGTGAAGGTTGCTGTTATTACTACACCCCCTTTAAAGAGGAGGAAGCAGAGGCTTGTAGTTTGTCAAAGCCACTTGCCCTGCATTACTTTGAGAGTTTGTCCTGGTTTTCTGACTCCACCAGTGACTGAGTTAAGTCATTGGACGTAAGATCCATGTTGGAGGAAGAAACAGCATAACGGAGTGTCTGTCGAGATGTGAGCGGCTCAGGGACCTGAGGAGGGGTTGCAGATTTTTAGCACATAGTTTCACTCATTAATTCATTTTTGTTTAGTCACAAAATATTATTGGAGATGAGGCAGCAAAACCAAACAAAAGGAGACAGAGCTCTGTGGCCTGTGGAGTGTACAGCCGAGTGGGAGGCGGATAATAAGCACGATGAGCAAGTTCTCTCCATAGCAGGGTACCTGTCACAGGCATTGAGAAGAGAAATAAAGGAGGAAGGGAGAACAGAATTGTCAGGGCGATCGCACTCCTAGGTGGGGCGACCAAGGAGGCGGCACTGGAGTGAGAGCCTGAAGAAATTGAGGCCAGCAGGGGAAAGCTTCTGGCCAAGGGAATAGCAAGTGAAAGAGCCTGGAGACAGGAGCACATCTGGTCAGTTTCTGGCAAGCACTGAGCACGTGGTGGAGCAGAGTAAATGTGGGGCTAACTAGGAAAAGAAAGACAAAGGGATTAGACCACATGGGCCTTGAAGGCCATCATAAGGACTTTGTTTTGCCCTCTATGGAGGATTAGAAGTCTTTGAAAGGATTTGAGCAGAGAGTGATGCATCTGAGTATCATTTTAACAGTATCCCTCTGATTTCTGGTTCGTGGTGTGAAAAGGGCCAAGCCAAGAAAGGGTGGGGACACTGGCGCCGTCGTCCGGGTGAGAGTCGCTGGCTTGGGCCAGGAGGGTGCAGTGGAGGTGACGGAAAGTGGTCAGATCTTCGTACATTTGGAAAGCCGAGCCAACAGAGGTGCTGGCAGATTGGACATGGAGTATGAGAGAAGTGAAGGCTGACCCCAGGGTTCTGGCCGGAGGAACCAGAAGGGATTTTAACTGAGGCCAGGAATGAAGAGATGAACAGGTTTGGGGAGGAAAGTCAGGGCCTCAATTCAGCTTAAGGCCAAGATTTGGAGGAACGTGAGAATCAGACAGCTCCACAGAAGCCAGGGGCAGAGGGAATGCGTCAAATACCAAGGGAAGCTCAGGGAAGATGCGCATGGAGCAAAGGCCATTGGATTTGGCGAGTTAGCCGCCCTGCGATCACGAAGAGGCATGCGGTGCACTCTGCGGGCTTCCGCCCTGGCCCATGGTCCCCTTGATGCCGTATGAGGTTCTTTGGGCCAGTTTCTTTGTCCTGTTCTCCCCAACCCTTCTCAGACCTGTGCTGTGCGGTGCGATCCACTTCTCCAAACCTGGCTTTGAAGCTTGTTTAATTCCATGGCCCCTCTAGGGATCTCGGAAACCATTGGGAGGGTGCCTTGTTCCCTGTTTGGTATTTTTATGTTCATTTTTATGGGGCACTTATTTTTCCTGCTAAAAATACCCTGTGCCTTTCTGGAGGCAGAGGAATGGGGAAGTAGAGGGGAAAAATTATTTCAGCATCTCACTTGCAGATCTGCTCAGTGGCCGGAGTTTAAGCACTGGCTTTCCAAGCCTGTTCCTGGATGTTCTCACTAACATATCCCAGCCCAGGCCCTTCCTGTTCTAATGAAAGGAAAGCAGTGCTGACCCGCCCACTCATCTTAGGAACTCCCCCTGGATGGCCTGGTGAGTTTCCATTCCAGTTGATGGCATAAAATTTAGCTCACGGAACACAGAAAATCTGAACATCTGTTTCTATGGGTTGACATGACATCATTTGTCCTGAAACACCCCCAGCCCCACACACAGACAGCCCAGATTCTAAATTTGGAAGGGAAGGAAAAACAAAACAGAAGGGGAATTCCTACTGGGGTAAAGTTCTGAATGTGGAGGGGTGCCCGAATCTGGCTTCCATGAATGGACCAATTGAGCTGGGAGATGCAATCTCCCCACACTGCTTCCTTAAGCTCTGCCCTTTGCAAAAAGAAAAGAAAAATGAACTGGGAAAAGTCATTACTGTGTGCAAAGGAGATGGGGGTCAGGATTTCCAGGGGTCTAAGTGCCACTGAGGCATTGCCATTGCGTAGAGTCAAGGCTGATTTGGGGATAGTTGAATTCATATATCACAGGATATTTGAGAAACTGTTTAAAGAAAATTTTACTGTGACCCAGCTGGAACTGAGGTAACAGCTTGCTTCAGGAAGACAAAAATAAGTAAATAATATCCCGACTGTCGAAGGACACGGGGGTAGAGCCTGGATCATGGAGGAAGGAGGGGCCATGGGAAAGTGCCCTTATGTGGCTCCGAAGGAAGGGCTCCTCCCACGGCATCCTTGTGTTGTTACCTCCAGGACAGTGACCTGATACAGGCCTGCAGGGTGAGGGGTACGACCCCCTCCGGGTGTGGGAACCAGGATCAGGACCACCATGCTGCTCAGTTTGGGTGTGAGAAAGGGACAGTCTGTGAACTATATGTGGCACTCTCGGTCCAATGGGCTGCTGTAAAGTTTGATTCAGTGAGGGGTCACCATGCACAGTGGTGACAGAAGGCAGAAGCAGGGATGGGGAGGGGAGGGGTCTGGTCTGTTTGCCAGCTTGGAGCACCAGAATCTAGTGGCAGTAGCACTGAGTCCTTCTGGTAGAAAATGCATACATGTCAGCATCTAGAGGGCTGCTTTATCTTAGGACTTCAAGAAGAGAGCAAAGGATTTCTTCATGATATTTCAATCTATATTTTTGAATGAGAGTTTTACACTGTTACTATATGGCTAATGTAAGTTTGAGTATATACACCTGTGCAGAAAAGTTAATACAGCAGGCCTGAGACTGCTATCTCTAGAAAGGCTTGCTGGCAAGGTTGGTCCTTGGCTAGCGTGTGGCAACTTGGCCAGTGAACAGTTCTTACACTGATGGAAATTTCTCCTAAATGGTAAGGGGAGCTCACTGTGTTTATCCTGTTTATACAACGTGGTTTATGCTGAATGCCTGGGTTCCTTCTGGGAGTCTGGAATCTTGGTATGATAGGTGCCTGTGTGACCAGCCCCCAATAAAAACCGTTGACGCTGAGTTTCTAATGATAGATAGCATTTCATACATGTTGTTATAGCTTATTGCTGGAGGAGTTAAGCATGTCCTGTGTGACCCCACTGTGGGGGACTCCTGGACATTTGCACCTGGTTTCTTCCAGATGTCCCCCCGTCCACCTTTTCCCTTCACTGATTTGGCCTTGTCCTTCCACTGTAATCAATCAGAGCTGTGGGTGAGACCATTTGCTGAGTCCTGCGAGTCCTTCTAGCAAATCGCTGAACCTAGAGGTGGTCTTGGGGACCCTGACACGACTCCAAACCGTACACGCCATGTAGGGTGGGGCTCTAAAATTAGTCATCAGCTTCTTCTGCACTAAATAATTTGGAACATTCTTTAGCCAGGTGGGGTTAAAGGCAGGTGTTGGTTCTGGTCTGGATGACTCTGCTGACCCTGCTCTTGGTGGCCTCTGCATTCCTGTGCCACGCCCTATATCACGGAGCGATTGCTGCCCTGTGCCGGGACCTTCCGTCTTGTGCACATACCGTTCCGTCTGGGCTTACGAGTCACGAGGGGAGGCAGACCAGAGAAGGAGGGCTTGGCTTCATTAATGGCTAACACTGGGGACTCCCTCGGTGTTTACAGTTCGCCTGTGAAGCCGGTAGGAACGGGACTGTGAGGAGCTGGCCTGCAGGCACATGCCCTCAGTAAGGCATGCCTGAGGTCTCCCAGAGTGCCTTTCTCTGACTCAGGTTTTTGTGGATTCCAAGCACCTACTTCTACTTGGTCTGCACACATTCTTTCCTTAGATATGCTCATCTAATCAATTAACTTACACGCAGCCTTGCTCTGGCCTGTGGGCTGTTATGTTGATTTCGCTCTCAAAGTGCAACCTTTAGGGCACTCCTCACTACGGTTCCTTCCCCCAGCTGCAATTACCACCTGTGTAAAGAATTGTTTTGCACTGCAGTGTCCTTTCTGGAGCATTCCATAGAGAAAACTAAGGCTGTACATGGTGTTGAGGGCCATTGAAAGCAACTTGCTGTACACCCAATTCTGGGACCCCAGACAGCCACTCAGATGTGGAGTTTTCCTAACAGGATGGGTCTTTTCTCCAGACTTGCCCACTTCTGCAGGCATAGCATACCTCCACGGGGCTGTGAGAAGGGGCTTGGGAAGTACGCAGGAGTCATGCTAAGAGGAGGCCATTCTGGAAATCTGGAAAATGTGATTATATTACAAACCTTTGACTCAGAGGGCTGATTTTCTGAATTTCCTAGTCCGTATTAGCTCCTCCTTGGAAGAAAATAGTCCATGAGTCTGACAGCCCCATAGAGGGCCAAAGAGACGTGGACTCCTAGGTATGGAGGCACAGGGAATGAGACGATGGAAGTGCCTGGGTGGCTACAGGACCCAAGGGGGTGGTGGGAGAAGGAAAGATGCCCGTGAATGAGGAGTCCCTGCGGCACCAGGAAACCCCAGGGGCCTTTCTTTCTGAATGAAGTCATCACCCCACTGAAGAGTGGAAAAGGGTCAAGGGACCATTCATTTATGATTGCTGACCCGGTGTGGACCTTCATGGGTTGCTACAAGTGGGTTGTTATAAATGGCTTCAGATACAAAGTGAGAAGTCATTCAAAATGTTCTGCCCTCTGCATGATGGGTAGGCTGAGAGTAAGACTTTTGGATAATGTATCGCCCATTCTTCCAACATTACAAGTGTAGTTGGAAAATAGGAAAAATCTCGTAATTACCACTGTAAGTTCTAGGTGACCAGGGGAATTACACTAGAGCTCCAGACTTTCCCATTAGGAAGATTTTCCTCACTGTTGACTTCAAGTCTCTTCATCAGAAGCGTTTGATTCTGGTCTTTGGGTTTCAGACTGAAGTCTTCAAGGGAACGGGATGGGAAGAGGACCCCCTTTCATAGCTAGGGGACCTGCCCTCCACCTCTAATGACCATGAGCCACCAGCCCCATCGTTTGCACTGACATATATTGGCTTAGCACCCAGAGTGGTTGTGGGAATTCACAGAGTGTTGACTACGATATGACCCCTTTCTTCAGGGAACTCAGCCTAACACAGTAGGATCTGCATGTGGGACTCAAAGGATGCCAAGTCAGTGGAGCAATCCCAGCTCTCCGTGGTGGGGAGTTTCATCCTTACACGTTTCCCATCTGCAGACAGAATTTCTCAGGATACTGTGAAGGCTGTAGTCACTCCCTGGAATAATGGCTTTCTGCACCATCTATAAGTCTCTTTCAAGGATGTTTTCAACAGATGAATGTTAGTTTCTCACAATTCTAGACAATCCAACATTTACTGAAGTCCTATAAGGATGGAAAAGAATGTGGTCTCTGACTTCATATCCTCTGCTTTTACTGTCTTGGGATTGGTCGTGAACCCCCCAAATAATTGCTTGGCAGGTAGCACAAAACCTACAGCCCCACTGAGCCATTATTAAATTAAATGTTTAATTTGTGCTTCAATTGAATTTTTGAAAATTTTCTAGAAAAAGAAACAATTTCCCTAAGCATTCAGGAATATTACATGCAGCTGTATTTCTAGTCTCTACATTTCTTCCTGGTGCCCTGACACCGCCTCTGACCAGGGCCACCCACCACCTGTGCACAGGGTCCTAGTCCCTCTTCTCAAAGACTTGGCATCTTCCTCCTGTATCATTCATTTTCCCATTCCTAGTGGTCCATCCCCCTGGCGTACCAGTCTGTTGTAATATCCTTTATTATATTTAAAAAATTTTTAATAAATAAATCTCAACTTCTAATTCCTCTTTGTCATCTATTTAATTTGCTCTTTTCATAGCAAAACTCCTCAAACAGCTGTTGCTACTAGCCTTACTCCCCACCCTCTTATTCTTTCTTATCATCGGCTTTGTTCTCCACAGTAATACTGAATCCAGAATTTTCAAAGTCGCATCAATTCCCGTCTTGCTAAGTTCACCAGTCAGTTCTTACTTCCTATCAATTGAACTTTTATTAGTTTTTAATACAGTAGGTCATTTCCTTCTTGTGGACCTTTTCTTTACTTGGATTCAGGACTTCCTTCTCCTCACTAGTTACTCCTTCATGCCCACTGCTGGCTCTGCTCTCTCTTTCCTCTAAAATTCAGGGTGTTCTAGGGCTCAGTCTTCAGACTTGTTCTCCGTCTTCCCTCACTCCTTAGGGGATCTTACTCAGGCTTGTGGTTTTTAAGTGCTATCCATACTCTTAACGATCCCCAAACATATCTCTAGCCTAGCCTCTCACCTAAGCCAACCGCCTTCTTACCGTGTCCACTTGGCCACCTGATAGACAGGTCAAATTTGCATGCCCAAAATAGAACTTTTGATTTCCTGTCAGTCCCCCTGCTCATATCTGTCTTCTGCGTTTTGCCCTGTCTCAGTCGAGGGTACCACCATTTACCCAGATATCAGGCTCCAAGCCTGTGAGTTATAGTTGACTTTTCCCTTTATCCTGTACTCTACGTCTGGTGAGTTTGATTGGTTCCATCTACAAAACACATCCCAGGTTCTCAACGTCCTTACTGACGTCACCCATCTGAGCCACTCCCATCTCTCTCTGGACCTATTCCAACAGCCTCATAGGCCATCCCTCCACTTTTTCTTTTGCTGTCCCTCCTGTAGAGAGAAGGGGATAACTCTAGTTTTGAAACCTTAGGCAAGTTTCTTCATGTTTACACTCTGATGTTTCCTCATCTATAAAACTGGTTAAAGTAACAGTAAAGTTCTCATAGGGTTGCTGTGAGAGTTAAATGAGACAATGCATGTAAAGCCCTTTCACAGCATCTGGCACATAGTAAATGCTCAGTAAATCCCAGCTATCATTATTTCTCATGCATTCAACAAATATTTAATGAGTCTCTTCCATGTGTCAAACCCTATTTCAGGCACCAGTGATATACTTATAGGGGGACATGGTCCAGAGATTCCCCACCACAGTTTGTCCCCTCCTCTTTGCAGGCCAGGTTTATGAATCAGCCCAAGCCTTGACTTTGGACAATCCACCCATTTTCAGAGCTGGCATGTCAGCCTCTGTCGACCACCACTTCTGACCTGTCTCCAAGCTTCTTCTCACACTGCCAAAGAGGGGAAGCACCTTGGTTCCCTCAACAGGTAAGGTTGAAGCAAAACAGCCGGGAGTGAGAGCCCAGGTCAAATAGAAATATAGGCTGGCACCTATTCCCAGAGTGGAGCCCACCTCCCAGTCCAGTATGTCTTTGCTGTGGGTCTGCAGCTAGAGAAGGTGGTCTCTTTAATGCACCCATTCTGGAAATGTGTCAGCTACCTGATTATGGCTGGAGTGTGCATTTTGCTCATTCAGGTTGTTTTCCCCATGACTCCTTCCTTTGCTGTTCTGCAATAGCGCTGATCTGTCAGAGCAACACCTACAGACAGTGGCACCATGCAGGCTGTTCCTTCTCAGCTGCACAATATTTCCTTAAAGAAACACACACCTGGAAATGGAATTCCTGGAACTATTCCTGGATACTTTCCAGAGAAACCCTGGCAACATGTGTAAATACCCTTTTATTTTCCAACATGGGAACAAATATTTCCTACCTTTAGTGTTGGGGGTGGTTTCAATTAATACCCAGGTGACACGTTTCTGGGTGGCAGGGGCGGATGATGAGAATGGGGCTAAAGCAATACTTGTCAGTCTGTGCTATTTCCACCAGCGTTGAATGAGTTATTATCTTAATATCCCAGTGGAAATTATGGACTGGGACTTAGGAAAAAAAGAGATGAAAAATCTGGAGTGATCTTCAAAGGGAAGGAATTTTAAGCCATGAGACTGGATTCCTAGTTGGCTAAAAATCAGTTTTTAACTGGTTCTAACCAGATCAAATCCAACTTTCCTGGATCAAATTGGATAAGCCAAGCTCAAGCAGGATACAACGTTCCAACTTGGGACAAATCAGATTCAGAGCAATTAATGCTGATTGAGATCAGACGAGCGTGGTTCTAACTTGTTACTGGGTCACACCAACACGACTTGAATCACAATGGTTCAGAAGGAGGAAACTGGATTCTGCCATGGGACGCTGCTTTCTGCGAGGAAAAAAGGTGCAAAAAGATTCTTAGCAAAACAAACAGATTCCAACAAATTAAACCAGTTTAAAGTCACATTTGTCAAACAGCTGGTTCAAACTGGGTCAGATCCACTCTAATTTCAATCGTTTTACCCTTGCTGATTAAGATAACTTTGACCAGTTTAAACCAGATTAATCTGGCAGCATTGCCAGATGTCTTCAAAAATACTTTATTCATTATATATTGAGGGAAAAGGGATGGATAGGTTGTAGATGTCATTCTACATTATATCTTATCATTTCTATTTTGCTTACGTAGATTGGTCTGTAGATCACTCTCAGCATTAAAATGATTTCGTGCACCGTTGAGTGTCCCAGGCTTTAATCAAATCGGTGCAGCTTCTTTGCAAACACAGAAAACAATATTTTTCTAAGTAGAAATGAGAGTCCATTAGTGGAAGTGAACTTCGGTAGTCTCCCCTTTCCCGTGTCACTTTTCTGGCTTTCAGTTCCCTGCGGTCACCAGCCGCCGCAAAGCAGCTGATCTTCCTGGTGACATGTCGTCAGAAGGTCAGCAGTAGCGCAGCGCATGTCACGGGGCCCACACCGCTCACCTCACTCCATCTCATCATGGAGGCATTTTATCATCTCACGTCATCACAAGGAGAAAGGTGAGTACAGGGCAATAAGATATTTGAGAAGGAGTGAGAGAGAAACTCATTCACAGAACTTTGACTACAGTATGTCGTTATGACTATTCTATTTAATTTTTAGCTATGTTTGTTCATCTTTGTGCCTCATTTATAAATTAAACCTTATCATAAGTATGGACATATGGGAAAAAACACAGTATATATTGGGAGCAACAGTATATCCTGGGAGCAGTGGTTGCAGGCATCCCCTGGACGTCCGGGAATGTGTTACCTGGAGGAAAAAGGAAAATGGAAAACTCGGGGCTGGCTTGGCGGCCCTTTGCATTCTGGGGCCTCCCCAGTCTGCCTGCTGCACCTTATGTTTCAGAACCCTCCGTAGCTGCTCCATCCGTTCTGTCCGAGGTTTGTAGTCGCATTTAATGCATCCTTCCTTATCCTGTCTTCTCTGGTATCAGCATCTCCTCCTGCTATTTTAATCATTGATCATTTGCTGTGTGGAAAATGTATCCTACTTGATATACAACATTTTTTTTTAATTTTAAAGTCGCACTTTAAAAAATGTCATTGACTCTTTATTATGACATAAAAGAAGTAGGCACTCCACATCCTACTTTCTGAATCGGCAATGGGAGGTCTTTCCCCCAAAGACAAATTCTCAGAGACAAATTCACACTAAGATTGAACCACATCCTCACTTGGCCTAATACTTTCAGTTCTTTTTCTGTTTACACCCTCCCCTTGCACATTAATGGGAAAATAAAGCATTCCAAGAAGGCCTTAAGAACCCTGAGATTTCCAACTTGAGTGACTGGGAAGGCAACTGTTCTTCACACGGATGTGGTGTATGGACCAGGAAATGAGTTTTGGTGGTGGGATGGGAGGTGATAGGTTCTGTCCTTAACACATTGACTTAAAGCACCTGCCAAAAGATCCAGGAAATGGGAGCCTGGAGTTGAGGGTTACAGGTAAGATTTGGGTGGCATAAAGAATCACTCCCAAAGAAGTTATCATGGAAGATGGAAGGTACAAACAAAAGAAAATTATTAGGGGAGAGTAAAGTGTGGACTATGGCAAGAAAGGAGAGATAGGGACCACCCAGAGGGGTGATTAAATGTCCCGTTGCCCAGGACCCCCTGCCTTGGTTCTGTGTTGCTGCTCTTACCACCCCTCCCACTGTGGAGCCCTTCCACCATGACAGCATTCCCTCCAACTGCCAATTCCCCCAAGCATTCCCCCTTCCAGGACAGAGACTGGCCCATTATCTGGAGCTTAGTCAAAGGTGAAGGCACTGTTTTGGTCACTATGGCAGACTTACTGGGGGAGGGGACTTCAGGAGTTTCCTGGTTCTGGCCCATGGGGGAGACAAATAGCCTGGGGTGAAGTTGCAGCCTTCTGTGGCCTGCCTGACCCATGCAAAAGTTTACCCCTTAACCTGGACCTCCTAATCAGCACAATTACCTCTGCATAGGGAAATAACAAGGCTTTCCGAGCCCTTTACCATTGCCAAATGTTTTTGGCAAACACCCTCAGACTTATTCTAACACTCACGGTATGCTAGGTTTTGCTGCAGTAATAAATGAACCCAAATCCCAGTGGCTTAACACAATAGAAGACGCTACTTGTCCAAAAAGGGAAGGTGGGTGCCTTCCTCATCAGAGGTCCCTGTGGCCCAGGCCAACTGACGCAACATCCGAACAGTAGCTTTCATGATCAGAGCACCAGTGGCAAGGGAACAGGATTTATATGTACACTTGAGATGTAAAGCTTCTGTCAGCTTTTCTTTTTTTTGATTCTGAAAAGGAGAAGTCACATTCCATTGGCCAAAGCAAATCATATGGTCACATTTAACTTCAAGGGACAGGGAGTTAAATCCTCTCTAACCCCAAAGGGTACATGGTGAGCCTCCGTAACCACTACCAAAACTGTGTTCTCAGAATTGTCATCTCCACTGCAGGGCTGAAAAACTCAGACTTTACTTGGTCACTTTTCCAAGGTCACACAGCTAGTCAGTTGGCAGAGCAACTAGTAAGTTGGCACATGTGTTTAATTAGAAAACCCATGTACCTTCTGTAACTCAGGCATCTCCTCTTTCTGAAACCGTGATTCAGAAGGTGATTCTCATTAGCTTCCAGGGGACACCAGATGCTGGCGAGCAAGTCTGACCCCCAATTCATCTTGTGAAAATGTGTTTCCCTCCTTGCAATGACCTGTTTGTTAAGAAAGAAAGAGAAAAAGAGAGAGAAAAGGGAAGGAAGGGAAGGAGGGAGGGAGAGAGGGAGAGGGGAAGGAAGGAAGGAAAAAACCAAGCCAGGCCTTTGGGCCCACCCCGACCCACACCCACAGTATCTAATCCATGTCAGGGTTTTTTGTTTTTTTCCCCACTGTGTGGTATTCTCTACTCATAGGACTGGGTCAGGGGAAGTATATATCCTTACCTACAGTCTTATTCTTGCTTATGTTTGTTCTCTGCTTGACTCCATGCCCTTCATTCATTCTTTGGAATGTTCCCGTGACAATGGAGGGATAGCCCGATAGCGAGCCAGACAAGTGTGCAGCCCAATGTCTCTCGTGCTTGGAATTCTACAAGGGAAGGTGGAGGGCACTAGAGCATTCTCTACCTGTTTCCTTACTTGAGAGACATCAGCAGTGAGTGTTTAGTCCCACTCTGCAGATGAGGAAA